TAATGTAAGAACTCACCACTGACATCTTTTCCCAGAATTCCTTTTGCTTCCTTTACAGTGGCCATCAGACAGTACACTGGGGACTGTAAGGGTCAGACAGCTAGTTAGACACTTTGGTATTAATAAATGCACATGTTGCAGCCTCAGACATGCAGATAACATTTGTATAGCACCTTTCTAAACAGGGTTACGATAAAACAACAGGTGAAACATAAGAAAAAAATGCTAAAATTCAAATAGCTAACAGTGCATATGAGTGCAGCATAAAATAAGAAAATTACAAGCATAAAGAGCTAAAACAAAGAATAACTGGTTATTATTTAGAAGAAAAAGCTGACTTGGTAAAGTGAGTTTTAAGAGGTGATTTAAAGAGGTCCAATGTATTTAGAAAGCCAGTGCAAAGATGCCAGAATAGGTCTAATGTGACATGATTTCCTGGGGTTTTTTAAAGCCTATGATTTAATTCTTGATGGTGCTCTTAGCTGAAGGAAGCATGGCTGTTACATGATAGGTCTGAGTCCAACATAAACCCTGATTTAGATTTTGTGATCTGAGATGATAAACAACCAAGTTCAGATTGAAGGGAAAGCTGTCAGAGAAGGTGGACAAAATAATAACGCATCAGATTTTGGTTCATTCTGCTGCAGAAAGCTTTGCATTTGCAGGCTCAAGAGAGACATGCAGCTGTGTGTCATCTGCATACATATGAAAGTCAACAGACATAATTTCTCCTGCTGGTAAATGGAAAGGGGTGGAAAGTTAAGATTCTTAGTATGAATACTGTGCACATGTGCATTCATTGGAACAAACACACTCACTTCCTTTTCTCACCTCTGTGTTCTGTACTTTCTCCATCAGACTGCCATGCTCTGACTCAGTCATTGTGAAAGCCTGGCAGATATGACAGAACAGTCTCTGTAATCAGTCATAAACCACACTAACGGACTTACGGGTTATATTTTGAGTGAAGCTGAGGTGTTTACCTCCTTGATGTACTGGTGAAGCTGGCTATCTGTGAAGACCTCAGTTGTTGACGGTTTACCCATCTTATGAGAGATCGTGTACAACAGCTCCTTATACAAAGGCTTCAGCTTTAACCAGAAATAATCAGAGTGAGAACTTAGTTGGAAAAAACATGGTATGTGCAGTACAACACATGAACAATGATACCTCCAGCTCCTTATGTCTTCGTGCTTTCTCTTCAGGGTTCTCATCTTCTTTTAAATCCTAAAAAGAGATTACACATTTTATTCATGGTTCTGTTGAGCAAATTTCATAAATGAGGATATCAGTTAAATTTAAGGTGTCTGAAGATCATGCAATGTTGCCTACCCTCCTGTCTCGCAATTTCCTCGTCAACCCCAGTTTACGTGTATGGCCGGGTGAAAACTGAAAAGACAAAAAATGAAAATAAAAGTAAACATTAAAAACAAATACTTGAAGGATTGTGCCAGTGACTTTACGTGTTGTAGCCCATTTACTAGAAAGCATGAAAATTTTACAATAGTGCCAATTTTCCAGGTAATACTTTGTGTGAATGTATTTTTCTAATCTTATACACAGCCATTGATTTGCATTCATTTCCACTATGTGTACACATTTTGTTAATAGATTTTACAGTACATGAAAATTAAAGGTCCACTGAATTTTTGTTACAAAAGTGTCGCTAAACCCGAATCGAGATTATTTGCACTTCAGATATTATCATGTATTGAAAAAGAAACTTGATGGATTGCACAACTCAAGGAAATTTCGAGAATATGTTTTTTTGTTTTTTTTTTTAGCCCTGCTAGCATGTCCCATAGCAGATGGTAATGTCTGTCAGTCAGTCCACCACTTTAATCCAACTTCAACACTACTGGATAGATTGTTATCATCTTGTGTGCCCACAGCATACATCTTATTTTCCTGCTATACTTTGTGCACTAATTACCAAATGTTTGCATGATAAGTTGTTAAAATAAGATAGTTTACATCTGCTACATATCAGGATGTTAATGCTGCTAAAGTGGCTGCAGACCTTTGAAAAAAAGGAAACTAGTAGCTTAGTGTTAAGTCATAACAACAAGGAGCGTAAACGTGCCAGTTTGGTCCATTAACAGAGAGGCTTTTTTAAGGATTACAGAAGAAATAACACTTGGAAATGAAAGACTATGTCCACCAGCTGATGTGTTTTACCTGTTTGAGTCTTGTTAAGCCATGTTCCTGGAAAACAGGGGGAAAATGTGCTTATGGTAAATACGGGGACTTCTATAATGATGTAAACCTAAAATAGTTCAGTTAAATCAAACTGAAATAAACAGGCATTTTAAGATGATCTCATTTGACATCAGCTTGTGTGAACATACAAAAAGATCTTCATTTGAGAAAAGTTGCATCACTGTGCTTAAACACTCATGTTTTTGCTATCTGATAAGGCCTGCGTCTATAAGAGACTTCCTCTATTTCTGAAACTGGCTTGGAGGCAACAGCCAGCAAAAACTCACTCAATATTCAAACCAGCAAAATAATCTGAAGGGAAATCACTAGCAGCCCATCCTAAAGATATGTATGCAAACAAACCTGTATTCAGCACACACACATACACACAGCTATTTTCATTGATGTATGTTTGCATACGGTATGAATATTACCAGCCTCTGAAAAGGTTCTGTGTTCAAAACATGGCTTAGTTCACCTTACAAATAATTAAATGATGTGTACTAACAACTGCAAAATATGCAGAAACACTGGGTGTGGCACAAGATGACTTCTGTCATCATCATACATCCAAAACAATTATGAATCATAGTCACAGCATCTTGAAATAGCCATTTGGACATCATGACTCAATGATGCAAGGTTTTAACACTGCTGTTACTCAGCTGACAGTTTGTAATTTGTATCAGCTAAAATGCTTAAAAATCTCTGTGAAATCATACCAAAAGCAGACATATTTGACAGCACCATCACCCTGTCTCCAAGTAAGCGTGGTTAGTCACTAGCACTGAACAAAAATCAAACAAACACTGATCAGCATATCAGTACACTCAGGTGAATTGTGGTCCATACCTGTTCAGGCGTTTGCAGCAGATTGCCTCCCATACCCTTCTGCTCACTTTGACTCGACATAATGATGCTAATGTTTGACAACCAGACTCCTGCCTGGTAAGGTGCTGTGCTCTGTGTGTGAGATAGGGAAGCTGTGTGCGCAATGCGTTTTGATGAACTCTCACAAAGCTTCAGGAAGTCATCACTTCCTGTATAAGGTGGTAACGTCAGTAACTGGGACTTATGACTTTTCTTCAACTAGTGCCCTACATTGTGTCTTGATGTAGACAATACAACACACCTCAGAATCCTGTATTAGTTTGCACACACAAGCCTGAAACACACACAGAGTCAATCAAAAATCCAAACTGTTAATCTCCTCACTGGCTCCTGTTTGCAATCACGCTTACAGTTTTGAGTGCCAAGTTGTTACCAGTTTTACTGTTAGCATTACTACCATGGTTCCCTGACACAACCAAATCCATGGTGCAAATCTCAAGTGACACATGATTAACTGCAGCTAAATGAGATAATGAAACTGCATGCAACATGAGATGGGCCACCTAAAACAATCTGTGCTTTATTGTGTTCATCAGATTGTATATTATTCAAATGTTTGTTTTACATCTAATTTAGATGTACATCTTTTCTATGACCGTAGAACCAGTGCTTTAAATTGTTGTGCGTATATTTTTGTCAAAATTCCAGACATCACATGCCAAATATTCTTTTAATCTATAAAATGATAAATATCCATTTTTACATAATGTATGTGTTGTATGCCTACTGTTGTGTTATTATTATTACTATTATTATCATTATCTTAACGTAAGTCAAAATCTTGTGTATATTTTGAAACGTACGTGACGTCACTGTGTGGGCGGGCCATGCGTATGGCGGAAGGACAGGTGCAACACCAAACACAGCAACATTATCGACGAAGAGGGAGAGGATACCGAGGTTGCAGACAGGCCTCCAGGTACTCTTTCTGATAGAGGAGCACAACCTTTAATCTTTTTGCTGCCGGAGAGTCTGGAGGGCCGTCGACATGACGCTGAACCAGAACCACTCGGAGTGCGGTGGAGTCATCATCAACAACAGTGAAAGGTGACATTATCGTTAGTGTTTGTAACGTTAACGGGCTAACTAGCATTTAACCATTACCGTTAACCAGATAACGTTGCTGACAACTTTTACACGTCCTTGGGATGAACGTCACATCCAGCTCGTGTAGATTAGTATGCATTTTCGCTAATTCATTAAGACACGTTAGCTAACGCTACTGTACTTGCCATAAACACCCTCATGGTTAGCCAACTAATTCTAACTTCATGGGAAACTTTTATCATGTTAGCTTATTTTTCACACAGCCGCATTCCATCGATAATGTGGCGAGCACGGTGAAACACACATTGTACTTGTTTTTTTTGTTTTTTTTCTGGCCCCTAGTCATTGCAAGACGTTTCCAAATTAAATGCTAGCTGACAAGCAATGCTGCATTCATTGTTATATCTTGAGGGAATGGTCGCCCTGCGTCTTTGGGAACCCAGAGGTGTCTTCAAGCCTCAAGCTGTTATGTCATCACTGCAGTCGGCCGTAGCAGGCTTGATGTGTGATCACATAGCTTTTTACTTGTTTTAAACGATATATTTAGTCAAACGAGGGGTAACGTTTTGAATCATATTCTAACAATAACGTACTCTATTTATATGTGCATTGTTTACAGTTTTAGCTAGCCATCTGCACGTTGACGTGCTCGGTAGTAAAATGTTGTTTTGTCACATCCAGACCTGGTCACTCCAGTTTACACGATTTAACATCCCTCCTGGATTCTTCCAGAACATACTGGAGCACAGTGTTAAACCCATTATAGCCAACCCAGATCCGTTTACTCTGGTACTGTTTTCTGAGAGCAAGTGATGGGCCTGTTTGGAACTGGACAGCTGGAGCTTATTCTGAAGATAAATCAAATATTATGAAAGTGGGGTTTGAGTCCTATTTTTAATTAAAAAACACCATCTAAATAATATACATTTGATTTGTTTGTATAATTAGAATATGATGCAATAGCAATGTCATACTTTATTTTTCTTTTCTCTGTTCAAATTGCTGTGTTCTGTGTTCTGTGTGTCCTGTGTTTTGTATTTTTGTCACCAGTGTTTTAATGAACTATGATAATGTGGAGCTGGTTTTCTGTGATGCGGACAGTCTGCCTGAAGCCTTCAGAAAGGGCAAGAAGGGCAGCATCTACCTAACTCCATACAGGGTAAGAGACAAGTCTTATTCTTTGTTTAAACAGCCCTGTTCTGACACAACACTGTCAGCAAGTACTCAACAACCTGCAGAGCTGTGGATCCACTAATAAGCACTACAGTGTTCGGCTTTCTCCAGGTGTAACAGGTTAGGAGGGGAAAGATGAAATTATGTTTGCTTGCTGCTGTTTTCTCACAGGTGATCTTTCTGGCCAAAGGCCGGGATGCACTACAGTCCTTCATGATGCCCTTCTACCTGATGAAGGGGTGTGAGGTGAAACAACCCGTACTGGGAGCTAATTACATCAAGGGCATCGTGAACGCAGAGCCTGGAGGTAGGCATAAAACTGTGTGCAGGTGTCACTTAGCTTATAGTGGTGAATGGACTTACAGCATTCTGTTGGCTGAATACACACTAACCACAGTGGATTCTTTCTGGCTTTATCTCTCTTACAGGTGGCTGGGAGGGTTGTGCTACTTTCAAGCTCATCTTTGCTGCCGGAGGAGCTATAGAGTTTGGCCAGTACATGCTGCAGGTTGCAGCTCAGGGTATGATGACAAACCAGCCTAACAGAATCTGAACCTTTATTTCTTTTGTTACCTTTTCATCTTCTGTCCTGTATCTCAGCATCCAGAGGTGAGCCAGTGACTCCAGGGTTTGGTGGATGCCCCTACATGGCTAATGGGGCCTACGCTTACCCTCCTCCCCCAGTTAATGGGATGTACCCATCCGGACCTCCACCTGGCTACTCCTATCCCAACCCTCCTCCTCAAGGTCCAGCCCTTATTGCTGTTAGCTTAATGACACAGTAGAGATCTACCTGTCCTCACACCAGCCTAATCTGCACCTCTGTGCTCCTCCTACACAGGTGGATTCTACCCCAGCTCCCTTGAGTTTGATGCCTCCACGGCCTACATACCTCCACCTCCATATTCTGCCCCTCTGGGCCAGCAGCCACCACATGACCCAGACCTCCCATCCTCAGCAGCTGGTGAGTCTCTGGCAGAGAGGCTCTGACTGATTTGAACAAACTGGTGACAGCCTTAATAAAATAAGAAAAAGTGATGGCTTGTTCAGTCATTGCTGCCTCCCTCACTCATGTCTCTTTTTGCCTGCATTTACTTTTCCCTCCTTATCACCCTACCCATTGTACTCGAGGCTGGATTAGCTCCAGTTTTTTCATCTATCCAGTAGAACCATGTTTAATTAATGCCCTCCGCCCTCTCTCCGTCTTGTTACCAGCGGAGGCCAAAGCAGCAGAGGCAGCAGCGAGCGCCAGCAGTGCCACACTGCCTCCTACACATGTATACCTGCCACAGGTAAGCCTCCCACCATCACTCTGCTATACATCCGAAACTGAACTAATTTATCTATCAGTTGGCAGATATATTGGGCTAATGTGGCCTTTTTAAGGAATAGAACTGAAATATGATTTGGTGAGTGTTCCCTTCAGTGGAAACACAAGTAAAATTCATTATACAGCATATATGCATTTCAGTTTTAGCAGATAAACCAATTTTTCCACCTCAGCCAAGTGTAAAAACCTTTGGTTTGGAAGTAGTTTTGAATATACATAGCATTTCCACTCGAGGTTTTCCACACACTTCACTTAAAGCCAGTGAATGTCTTAGGGATTCAGCAGCTAGTCAAAACAGATGTGCATTAATTTGTGACACTTGATTTACTGGACTAGCTATATGGCCAAAACAATGGTAGATTGTCTTGTTGCAACCAGGCCTCTGCTGTAATTCATAACAGCGCTCAAATACTAGCACATTTTACCACCCAACTAGCAAATAAATGAAGAAAACATTAACAGTTTAGGGAAGTGCACATATGCTGGCACTGGTGCTTGTTTACCCATCACCCTATGAGAAGAATTCATTTAAATATATGATGAAAAACTGTTGGAACTTAACAATGGATAATGGATCCATCAGTCCAAGGCAAACTAGACCTCTCCTCTGTCTTTCTAGGACAAGCCCCCTCCCTATTCCCCACGAGAAGATAAGAAGAACCAGTAGACCTGTTTGATCTCACCCTCATTCCTGTCTTTCTCTTTTATCATCTATCCTACTGGTTTATCTTCATGCCAGTAAGTGGACATCAGGAAGACCAAAGGTTGTTTTTTTTTAACATTATCCCCTTGTTTTTCTGTTTTCCTCACCCCCATGAGATCCTCACCTTTATCTCCGTCCATCCCTTTCCCACCTCATACTAATGCTTTGTCATTTATATGTAATGTAATAACTTTCACTCTCCTCAGAAGCACCTTTACTTGATAGAAATTAAAAGTGGTATCAGTCTGTGAGACCAGAGGATTATTTCTTTCTTTTTTTTTTTCCAGTGTTGGTGACAAAGCCTTTGTAACCTGACTGTTTTAGCATTTATTGCCCTGCAACTGTCCCAAGACTTATGCTGCCACTTGAACCTTTCAATTTAGCTATGCTGTGGAGCTCATTTGTAACTACCAAGAGGAAAAACTAGCTTTTGTAAGAGAGTGGATTGCAAGGTGGCCTGGCCTGCTTTGACCTGTTGTAACAAATGAGTGGACCACAAAGATTAGTGCAGCGTGGAGCCCAGCAGTGAATCCCTGATCCTGGATTAGAGCAGAGTGATGGCAGCCAGGGCCTGAAGGGGACATTCTGCCAGGAGGGATCATCTTCATAATGTTCAGTCATGTCACTTCCTGTCATGCCTCTGAACATTCGAGAAGCCTGCTTCACATTTCACTCTTCTAATGTACGTTTTGAACATTAGAACAGGACCAAACCACGATTTTCTCAGCGTTCCGACTTTCTATGGTTATCTTAACTCTCCAGTTTGAGGCCGGTCTTTCAATCTGATCTGAGCCTCTATTCTTCCTTCCTCTCTGGTCACTAATCTATATACCGGTACTGCATCTCTGGCTGATTCTTTGCACTTTCAGAATGCTATGCATCGGGCTCCTCTTTGCTCTGTCGTGGTTGTGTGTAGTAATAATGATAAAGGTCTATTTATTGCAAATTAATTTATTGAATAATTACTGTAAAATGGCTCAAGTAAGAAAAAGCACGATCTGAACTAATGCATGTGTGCATTGGACTGGATTTTATTAAATTACCTTGATTCATGTGGAACAGAACTGTCTGTCTTTATTTCTAGATTGTGTTGCTATATCATACACCGCACTGTGCTTGTAACGCAGTATGGTGCCTTCGCATACTTAACATAGTCGAGGGTAAACAGGATGGGTTTTCTTGTTGTTAGGCCAAAACAGCCTTGAAATGTGCTTTTCCCTCAGAGTCACTTTTGACAACTTGTGCAAATCTACAGCAGTTTCCCAAAGACTAATGTGTGACGTCCTGAGCCTCGAGGACCTCAGCTATGGTTCCTAGTGCTCATGGTAAAACAACCAAAACAGTAGGTCAGAAGCCCGTTAAAACTGTAGAGTACAGCAGATTCCATCACAACACAG